TGTGTTTATTTTAACCATCTCTCTGCTGATAGCCACCCCCAAAAATAAAATGGCAGAAGCTGTGGATAGAAAGCAAAATCAGTACTGTCAGATGCATAATAAATTGGGAAACAATTTGGATATAGTGGTAAGGAAAACTGGAAGTTGAGGGATAAAAATGCTCAGATGGAGAGCTGGCTGTGCTTTTGGGCAGCCCTCGATCTGTCGGCAGGGTGATGCTGGCTGGGACCTGGCAGGAGGTTCACATGTACTGGGGCTGGGACAAGGGGCAGGTGTGCAGGCACTGCGTGTGCGTGGTGGGGAAGGGAGCCTGAAACATCGTGTTCAGCCCCCACGCTCTCACTCACACACAGTAAATGTGGCTCTTTCAGTCGATGAGTTATTGCTCCATGTGGACATCTAGTTAGGATGCATCAATGCATGCGGCTTGGGCTCTTGAGAAAAGCCATGAAACAATTTAAGTTTCCCCTTCTATGGCTTTCTACCATCTCGCTTGTTAAAGATTCCTTGGTTACCTTTCTAAGGTTGATGACTATCATGTGATTAATGACTTTCATCTGACACATCGATGGGATTCAGCCGCGGTGAAATACGTCCTTCCCCTCCTGTTGGTGCATTCGGCTGCTTTCCCCAATGGAACTGCAAGCGGCTGCGTCGCTCGAGGCTCTGGTTGTATTTCTGCCCATATCTGCTTGTTCTGCCTTCTGATAAACGTCTGTGGTGCTGGGATGAAGGGGTGAAAATTGTTGTTTAGGAAAAAGTGATGAAAGTGCATCTAAGACATTCTGGGAACAACGTGGGAATTTATTCTTACCCATGCTAATTACTGATTACCAGTTTAATCTGACATGACTCTGGTTGTACCACGTATTGCATTTACTCCGAGAAGCACCAGTTCAGGAAATATGCTTTAGGGGATGCCCAGCGTTAAGCAGATAACAATTTGCATTAGATTTAAACACACAACAAAAAAATTAGGCATGTGCCTTAATTACTTCAAAAGACTGTGCCAACGCTTCAAGGGAAAGTGTGGCTGCAGAGCATACACCTAGATGTGCCAGCTTTAACCTGCTAAATATGAGACCTTAGTGCCTCAGTTTTGCAGAAGGCTGCTGTGCAGGAAGATGCGGTTTGCCTGATGGCAGTGTCTGAGTGCTGCTCGATCTGGCTGAAAACTGATTCTCCTTTTTCTCTTCCCCACTGCCCTCTCCCTCACTCCCTGCCTTTTAAGTGGATTAATTTTCAGCCTAAGCAGCTCCCTGGCTCAGCTCTCCATGCAGCAGATGAACACCGCAGCTCACACAAGCAGTTGGTGGAGAGGAGAGGTCAGACCACCTCCCCTTGCAGCAGTGAGACAAACGTGTGAGGATCAAGTGGCCGTGAGACTGCAGCCTTGCAAGTTTGCAGTTAACTATAAAGAAGTATTAATGGTAGTATTTGCACATACAAATCTGCAAAGTTCCTGCCCAAGCATGTGGCATCAAAGCTCTGCCTCTGATGCTTACGCAGACTTTGCATGTGCCAGACCATGCTCCAGCAGTAGTCTTGCAGCACTGCAAGTACATATATATGAAGATTGTTTCTTGGCCATGCTGAAGCATGAAGTTTCAGTTAAGATGAGGAAAAACTGTGTTTAGGATTCTGCTCAAGTGCAGTAGCTGTGCAGCACGGTTACTGGGAGCAGCCAGTGGTGCGAAGCTTGTAGCGAAGCACTGCGCTAACCAAAAAGTTCTCAGCCTGGATTTGCTGTTACAATTATGTGCACTTCTTTTTATTGCGAGGAGACTTATTTAAAATTTAAATAGAGTTGACATCATGTTCTTCTGACCTAATTCTCAGGCTTTTGTATTATTACTAAAATGATCTGGGATATTATAATGCAGTACGCTGCGGAATGACACTCCTAGGAAAGATTGATACAGCGCTGGTGTTTGAATAGGAAATGGAGCGTGGCAAATTCTGAGATAATGCTGTGATCTTCAAATGTGAAGGCTTGTATGCATAGCTCCTGGGTGGAAAGCCACAGCTGTAGCTTGAAACTAACCCTGGTGAAAAGAGACCACGTGAAAAACCATGACACTCGCTGTTGCTTGTTGTTGCATGAATATGACATCTGCGGTGTTTTTTTTTGTTTTTCGTCTTGGTACCTGCTTGTTTACATTAGGAGATCCCCATGGTTTGCATTAACACAAGTTGACTTTATCCTAACTGGCAGGCAGTTGTCGTCGGTCCTTGTGGAATATTCCCAACTTTCAGCACCAAATTCAATTTGCCGCATTCTTCCTTCTGGACAGCTCGCTCCCATGGCGACCCGTGTCAGATGATGCACATACAGACCCTGAGTTTCTCATAACTTTATCCTTGGGATGACACCAGTGGCATTTTTCTCATGATCTTTAAAAACATGGGAGAAAAGTGTTTTCTTGTTTGTTTTGTTTGTTTGTTTTAAGTGTGAAATGTCATTTTGGAAAGCACCCTGCCCTTAAACTTGCTGGGTTGGTGTTTACAGAAATATAAGCTTCGCTTTTCCAACAATATTGAAAACAATCACAAATACAGTCTTTTGGTTCAAGCTGGCTCCAGAAGCTCCAATGCCTCGCATTGAAAATCGAAGCTCCAGCATCGATGTGTGAGTCTCGTGTGGCCATTAACACCCAACCCACCCTTACCCAAAATGCTCAGATCCAGCTGTTAGAAAGCAAAGACCCATCTCCAGTACAGAATTAGGCTGTGCTTCACCCAGGGTCTGTTCTTACACACCCCAGCCTCCCCCCAAAAGCCTAACATCAGCTGTGATCCTTTAACAACAGCTGTCGAGGTCTCACCCAGCCGGAGCTGGCAGGCCACGGGCCTTGCTCTTAGAAGGCAGGTACCAGGCTGATAGTATTTCATTGCCGTGCCCTAATTACCCAAGCAGTACTCGGTTGTCTATTTCTTCTTCTGTTACGCACTTCAGAACACCTATAATGGTACTGTAATCCTGCGTTTGTCTGCTCCTGTTTGCTTTGCCTACGGTGTTTGGACAGCGGTGCCAGAAGGAGCGTGCCTGGCACGCGTCTGCTGCGAGCGGGCATCAGCCTCGCCGTGCAGTTGTGTTGGCTGATCTGTGAGACCTGTAATTTGGGGAAAATGCGTCTAAAAAGTTTCTGTAGCCTAGCGGACAGAAAAAGAGGAAAAGTCAAGCAGACAAGAAATGAGTTCAGTCTGCTGAAAGGTTTTGCTGCCAACGATTTCGGTATGGTCCGTGTTAGCAGTAAGTAAATCCATTTGGAAATTATTTTACATGCAGACTTTTGTCGTATTACTATTACAAACAGCAGCTCGAAGCTGGGGCGCACAAATCCCGCATGCATTCATGGATCAGCCAAGAAAACACGGCATTTCCCCGGGGAAATCTATCCCAGCACGCAGACTGGTGAAGCTGCCGAGGACGCAGCTGCGCACGTAGGGCCGCGGGCAGACGGCCCTGACCCTCCCTTTGTGCTGTGCTCGAGCTTCCTAGGGCACATCCATAACTCCAAGGCATCAAGTAATTCCTTCCGAAACATTAGACATCCCCCAGTTAGATCTACCTTGAAGATCTGCCACTGTCTTTACATACGTAAATGGTTGCTGGATTTTTCTGCTAGTTGAATGTTTTTAACAACTCCCAGCTGCTCTGCCCAGTTCTTTTCCATTAGACCTGAAGGCTCCCTGCCTGCAGTACACAGGCAGAACTCGTGTTTCATTCTCATTCACATCCTGATGTTTCATCACCAGGCCCAGATTTGGTGAAACCTTTGTCATCGGATATGAAAATTTCCCTGCTTCACTTTTTTTGCTGCCAGGTTGTGTTGTAAGGGCAGGGCTGGCTTGTTGGGATCATGGGCAGCGTGGTCCAGTGCTGCTGCCGGGGTGCCATCTCTTTGTGTTTAATTATCGCTTAAAACAAATTGGATTGAGGGTTATGGTTGCAGGACTGTAATCCTCGCACAGCTGTGTTAAGCGGCATTTTAGGAGATGAATTTGTCATGAATTAGAAAAGTAAGCAATCTTAAGTGCTTTTAAGCCAACCATGCTGCAGCCGAGGACCAATCCTATTTTCTGCAGAGAGCAGGAGGATGACGGGGGAATATTGTGTGTTTTTATTAGTATTAATTATAAAAATGATTATTTACTTTTAAAATTTTAGGACTTTCACTCCTGAATGTAGATGAAAATATTCAGGCATGAAGCTACTGTTTTTTATGCAGAAGACAGTTGATAAAATTGTGTTTGTATTTCTTTAATCTAAATTCTTTGTGATCGGAGCAAGCAGTGCGGTTGCACGCTACCTGCCTGATTTATCAGTGCCTTACAGAAAACCAGAGCCAGCCTTTCCTCTAACCGAAGGGATTTGGGCAGCTTCAGGTGGGCAGTGAGCCTACAAGAAATGTGTTTGCCTGCACTCGGTGTTGCAGAAGTTGACGATGGGTCGGAGCTGGCTGTGCTGATACAGAAGTCACAGCCAGTGCTGTCAGCTGCCAGGAACTTTCCTGTTTCCACGGGGTTATTTCCTGTCTCTGAGGCAGGATTTTGTTTATGAAGATTGCTTCTGATGTACCATTTCTAGCAGCCAGAACCATTTCCCTATACCCCACCTATTTTTGTCCACGCACAGATGTACGTGGTACCCTGCGAGCCTGCCTTTACTCTGGTTCAGTGTTGGAGGGGAATAACTGATACAGCACAGGACTTGGCACCGTTTGAATGCCATGTTGCTGTGTTGGCAGCACGTATACATGATCCCCCCCCTTGCTGTTTGCTATTAATGACCAACTTCAGCTGTGGTGCCATGAGCAAGCTGCTCCGCAGCCTTGTTGCATCCCGAGCTGCGTGCGCGGTTACCGTGCGTGCCACAGAGGGAAGCTGAACATCTCAGTACTTTGAGATTTGTGAGCAGGGATCTGGAGCCTGCTCAGCCTCTGCTTGAGGAGTGCTTTCTGTTGTGATTTAAAGGCTGCTCTTGCTCTCTTCCGCAGGCCCTTTCACAGATGTTGTCACTACAAACCTGAAACTCGGCAATCCTACAGACAGAAATGTGTGCTTCAAAGTCAAGACCACAGCACCACGCAGATACTGTGTAAGGCCTAACAGTGGAATTATCGATGCAGGAACATCAATTAATGTTTCTGGTAAGTCATTCAAGTGTCTTTTTTAGTAATTGAAAATAGCCTCATCAAATGAGTTAGTTCTTGGAATGCTTTGCCATCTGAAAGTATTTTGTGGAATGCTTGTAAAGGCAAGAGGTGGTGATTTCATAGGGATGCAGCCATTTCATCTGTCTTTACTTCCCTTATTCCTGGTCTAGCAGTAATGGGCTTGTTTTGACATCTTGTTTTAGGGCAGGGGGAGGGGGACTATATAAATAATTTATGTGGTTCCATAGCAGCCTTAGCCAGCCTATCCAAGTCGGTACCGCTGCAGCCCTGCCCTCCCTGTGGGATTATTTTTGTATGGCTAGTTTTTTGCCAGCTTAACTTCCTGAACCAGCTCATTGCAGGGTCAGACAAGTGCTTGGACAGGCACATTGAGGGAAGAATAAAACTGGGTGGACTGCAGCCACACAGCTTAGACTGATAGGCTTTTGCCAAACTGCCTAATATAACCAAGCAGTAATGCAAACATTTACTTTGCAGCCGTGCTTGTTTTGTGTTCCTTGGAGATGCTGTATGCTTTGGTGCTAGAAATGTCAAGTGACTAAATCTTTGCTGTTTCATAGGAAAAGTTAATGATTTTCTCTAATGAGTCAGTAGCTCTTGGCTTGCCTGAGTTTGGTAATGGAAAAACAAAGGAGTGCATTACATTGAAAGCATAAAGGACTGATAAGCTTAATAATCTAAAGAACTTCGTCAAAGCATTTAATTGTGTCAGGCTGCAGAAATTAAGTCTGACTTCTGAGTTACGAAAGTGATATCTGTAAACATGCAGACTTGTTTTACTATTTTTAATAAATTTTAATATTGCATAAGAGAAGCACACAAGGTACTAGCCTATGGGGAGCCCACCCCAACAAAAATTACTTACTGGTAGGTTGTGTGGTTTGCCATTAGTCTTACCAAACTTTCTTAACATGTACTAAGTAATTTTGTGAGCTATAACTACTGCTATGTACTTGGAAAAAAAAAAATCAAAATGTAAAAAGCAGGACTTAAGTTACTAATGCATAAAAGGTAAAATATTTGAATGCTTTGTTCTTGGAGACCTTGCTTCAACACAATAAAAACTGATCCCAAAAATACTTCACGTTATAACATTCAGAGACTCTAATGTTGTGAATCTTCTCCTATACGCCTGCATTTGCAAACTAACTGGTGTTTTGTCTTTGGGGATTCTTACTGTGTCGAATTAAGCGTGCATATGATTGCAGAATTGTACCTTGCTTGCACTTGGTATCTGGAGAATGTCACAGAGTGAGGAGATAACTGGTGTGCTGTGGTACCTACAGGTGGGACAGGCAAAGCAGTTCTGCTTCAGGAAAAGCCTAGCACGTATGCAGTAAGCTCTGAAATGACTGATATGTAAATGAAAAAGATCTCTAGAGAGGAATCGAAATTCTTTTAAACTACGGACAATTCCCAAGTAAAGCTGTCTGTCATCTATACTAGCTGCAGGCAAGCATATTAAATGCATTGAAATCAATGAAGCGATAAAGAAAATTAGTATGGTTTCTAGCTACAAATTATCTATATGCTATAAAGATGGCAATTCTTTTCATCTTTCAGATGAACTTTCAAAATTAAAAGCCCTTTTCCTTTGCTAGTACTTCATATACTTTTTGAAATGTTGTCTTGAGCTCAACATTGATTCTTTTTCTTAAACTTCTGCTTACAGTGACCCTTTCCTCTGTCTTGAGCAGTACATAGTATAGGCAAGTCTTGTGTGAACTGCAAGAATTATTATGCTACCATCATGCTTACCTCTTACGTGCTTTTCCAATCTTGCTCTTCATAGCAGCCTGCTGGACAGGATATGGATCCAGTCCAAGACTTGACTTAAAGTATCCAATTTTGAGAGATTGCTGTGCTTACTCTAAGTTATGCTTTGCTCTTGCTTACAAAGCTCTGAAAAACTTCCCTTTTTGATAATTTCCTTTGTGGTGATTTATGATTCAGTTTTGCTGATGGCTTTGGTATATTTAATTACAGAAGTCACATTTGTGGTGTACTTCCATGCTGCTCTTGACTTAGTAGTAATAAATAACCATGCTGAATTGCCAGCCCTTCTATTAACATTGCATATTAAAATGCAAGCAGTACATGTTGTTCCTCAGATGGTACGTTAAGTAATTAATATATTAATAGGTAGATATGTTACAGAACTTTCAGGGATTATGCATGTTAATTCTTCATTTCCTAAAATGTTCTAAATAGAAGCTGTCTTCACCTTGTGCTATGGGTGAATTTCTCTTTAGTAGAGTTGTATTCATTGCAGTCTTGCTTCTAGCTTCTATAAACCATGTGTGAGACGTAGTTTTGGTACTGAAGATGGCAGCATCATTGGTTCTGATTACCAAAGGGATTTATTGGATATGAGGAATTGAAAGGGGACTTTCATTAATTTACAAATCAGAATTGTTTTCAGATCCTTGGAAAAGGAGATGTTTCACCTCTGCTTTGGAGTAATACTGCTTAGGAACAGAGGATGATTTTGGATTTAATAAAGAGAAATATAAATAGAAAATGTTTTCTTTGCCTCTGAATCAGTTATTCTTCAGTCATGGGATTCAAGTCTCACATAAGGCATAAAAATAGGACTTGAATTCTTCCGAACCTGTATTTTAGCGGCGTTTTTGCTAGAAATTATTAGAATATAGCTCAGTAATAACTTCCAGACACTTAAGCTAATTGGGGTGTGTGTAGTTTATGCAATGAGAACTGCTGACTGGCGTTAACACAGTGGCGCTGCGTTGGTACTGCACCTTGTGCCTACAGAAAAATTCAGTGCCAAAGCACAACGGAGTTGAAGCTCTGGAACAATTTGTGTTCCTTAGAATATTACGGACTGACTGCTGCCTTTGGGGCAGCCTCTGTCTCCCTTGCACTGTAGCAACTGGCTGCCTGTTTTCCATACAGTCCCACAGGTGGATCCTATTTTGATATAAGCTCACAAGAAGGTGTTCTGTCCTTAGGCAGGCAGCTATCTGAACGTTATTTCTTGCTAGTATGTTGGCTCACTTAACACACAAAAACGCTAGAAAAGCAAAGCTTTCCTTATTCTAGTGGAGTGTCAGATTTTGGCTGCTTATGCCATAGCACAGCTTTTCCTAAATGCCAGCATTTAAGGCTCTGTCAGCATGCGCTGCTCGCTGCGATGTCAGGTTTGTAGTCCCTGTTTTCACCTGTTATATAATGGCATGTAATTTTAACAGCTGAGTTTATGTAACTGTCGGGAAGTGTGCGTATGTGCTGTCACCCTCTTTGATTGCATTTGGTCTGAAGCACTTGGAGAAGGGGATTTGCACACATTCTGTTTTTTGTTAAACATGCCTTACTTGAACAAAGATATCTGATTTTGCAGCTCCCAAGAGGCTGGAATCTAAATAAAAGGCATGAATAGATTACAAGGGAAAAAGTGAGAAAATACAAGCAGCTGCTGATGAGTCTGCAGCTAGGTGTATAACGGGAGAGATGAAGTACAGATGGTGCCGTGTGCGTGCAGCATCCTGCTGCACAGTGCAGAATGAACATGCTCCCTGGAAACTGGGGGAGGCTGAGGGCATCCTTGGGGGGATTTTTAGTCTTTTGTGAGCTTGCCTGAGTTGGAAAAGGCAGTTTGTGTTTTCCTTCAGGACTGTGCTGGTCACAGGGTCTGCCTCTTCCGCTAAGACATCAGCCCCTGCCATTCCCTGCACCCCCCAAGGCTACGTGGTGGTCCCTGAGTCAGGGGCTGATTTTGTCTGCTTGCTTTAGGAGAGTCTATCTTGATCTGCAGGAGTCAACAGTTTTCAGTGTTACTGCAATATTTACAGAAAGAGCTATGCAAACATGGAACAAACAAAGGGATGCAGTGGCTTCTGCCTGTTTGTTGATGCGGGTGTCCTTCGTTCACCTCCGGCACCGTGACCTTGAGGCTCATCCCTGTAGCAGCGTGGGTTGTTTGTGTGAAGGTGAGGCGTGGTAGTTCTGATCTAGCCAGACCATAAAGAATTTAATCCCATGTCGTATAGGAAAACCATTAATAAAGGTAGAAAAGCCACAAATAGACTCACAGACTACTGAGTGGGCTGCTGAAGAGTAAGCAGTGCTGCAGTGGATGGATAGCTTCTGAACTGCACCAGGAGGAAGTGACCAGTGATGTTTCTCGAGAATGATGTTTGGTATTAAGCTTGCTTCATGCTTTTGTAAGCAATTCTGGCACAAAGAGTACACTAAAAACCCTGATGATGACGTAAAGTTGGGAGGCTGAAGATATGCAGCTAGAACTAGGCGTCCTTGAAAGCTTCAGTAAGAGAACCAGGATGAGCCTCATTGCAAAAACTGCAAAATCATGTACTTGGAGAATAAAATACTTCTGCTGTAATTACAAGCTCGTTGAACAAAATGGGAGGGTTATGGGGATGTTGTGACTAATCATAGGGTGACCAAATTGTTAACATAACAACTAACATAACATAACACAACTGTGAGTAGGGCAAATGTAGTATGTACAATCAGTCTTGGTAATGGAAGAGAGAGCATAAATGCTATTGTCCAAGGCACTAATAAAATGTTGTGTTTGTATACATAGAGTAACTGACAGAGAGGAATTTGAGGCAGAGCAGGTGCAGAGAATGAATGGGGAGCCTGACCCAGAGAGGACTGGCAGTCTGGCCTGTTGGTTCACCAGGAGGCCAGGAGCTGCTGTGATTGATGCCTTGGAATGCACTGGAAGTAAAGGGCTCTTCCCCTTCTGTGATATTTAAGCACAAGGGCAGCGCTGGTCCAAGACCACGTAAACAGCCATTAATAAATTGAGATGGAAAGCAGGGGAAGGTTGCTGACGATCTGAGCAGGGAGACTTTTCTGTTCCTTCTGCTCTTCGAAGGGAGGGGTAGATCCTGGCAGGCTTTTAGAGCAGAGTGTGGCCTTCCATCTTCCTTCCTTGCTTCAAATTTCCTCTGCCCTTGATACTGATATTAGCTTTGCCATTAAACTGCACTGGGGAAAAAGGAGCATTTTAGCTCTGCTTTGCTATCTGTGGATCCTCGTGTAACAAATGAAGGCGTGTAACAGGAGCCTGGGAGCAAACTGGTGGCCGTTATGTGGAAACATTTCAGAACGGGATGTACGTCAGCTTGGTCCTTTGAATTTTGGAAAAGGCAACTGGGCTAGCAAGTACAACTGATGTTATTTCTTATTCCATTGGTCTCCCAATGGCTTTGCAGGTTTTGCTTGTGATGGGATGCTGTAGGGCCATCAGTGTGGGCAGAGGGATGCATATCCCAGCCACGTCCTGATGGATGCTGGTACCAGCGTACTTGAACCTCCTGTTAGTCATTTTGTTGGGTCACTGGCTTCTGATGACAGCTGGTCAGAAACTTCTGACCAGATAAGGCTGATTTTATAAGGTATTTTGTAGGAATGTGCCCTTTTCAGGTAGTTCTCGTGCAAGGTATGGAATTTCCAGGCAAAGCAAAGGAGCTGCACTCACCGTAGCCACTTCTCTGGCAACTAGGGCAGATCCATGGAAGCACCCTTTCACAGAAACCCCCAATAGTACGTGAATAAATGTTGAATGCTTTGGTTGCCTTTTGAACAAAGTAAGTATTTTTGAGCTTCCCATCTGGCTTACAAGACATTTGTTGAATAATTTGTGTCGATGTGGCTTTCGTGTATTGATCTAAAAATAAAGTGCTAACAACGTTTATACTGCCGAGCCCTCTCGAGCTGCTTGCTGTTAGGATTCGGTGAATGGAATTCAGAGCAGCACTCGTTTGGCGTTGAAGTACGGCTTCAGCACTACCACTGGGGAAATAATGATTTTCAAATGAGCTTATAGTTGCACTCTGCAAAGCAAACTGTTAAAACTGCAGGTCTGGATGAGTTCCAGAAACAGCGGATAGCTCTGACAACCCAGTTGGCTCTTCAACATTGTGTAGACTTGAAACAACAGCTAGGTGGCTACAAAAGGGACGAGAAATTATTTTGCTGATTTTCAGTGATGTGTCATGCAATGTTGAAATAACCGTGCTTTCACAGTTCAATCGCTTCTGTTTGGAAAAGGAGTTATAAATGCAGCCTGTTAATAACACAAATATTTATTTTGGACTAGTATTTGATTACTGCAAGGCAAGTCAAAAATGTATAATAATGTTCACAGCATATTTGAGACAACTGGCTGTCTTGCTTTTCCTGCAGCTTTAAAAGTCATTTGGTTGTTGATGGCCACAGACTGTGTGCATAATAAAGATGGCACAAGTGTAGCATATTTTGCTTATTGAAAGGGGCAGATTGGTTTGTTTTTTCTTCATTTGTAATAAATGGGATCTCTGGATATCACTTGTATACTATAAATCCCTGCAATTAGCACATGAATTTCAGCACATGTTAATGGCACTACTGCTTGAAAGCAATCCCAATTCTCGAACTGTTCACTGTGATTGAATTGAGGGCCTGAAGTAGCCTATGGGTCATAAAATGTGAATTTTTAATCCTTACACCATTTCTTTTAATGTTAGCAGTAATTGCAGTTCACGAAAGGTCATTTTAAATATCTTTTTTTTTTTGAGGGTGTGCAGCTTTTTGCAATATCTAATAACAAGTTTGTATAAAATACTTATTTTTTACATTTTGTGCTGTCTGATCTCAAAGCAAGTCCTGTGTTTTTTTAATATCAGTGTTAAATATCCAGGTGTCATTTGCAAAATGTAGAGGTTCTAAGTGACCACTGTGATTGAAAAAGAAGCCATGAAAGTTCCCAATATGTTAAAATAAATAAAAATAAAAAAATAAACTAAGGCACTCATCCCCTTCCCATACCATTCCTTCCCTCCCCCCTGCCCAACATTTCCTTTTTTTTTGGCCCCTGAACATAGTTCTCATTTAGCCATAAACTTTTCTCTATATTTTTAACAAGCTTTCAGCAACTTATCTTGGAAGGGAAGTAGCTGTACTTGATAAATATCATGAGATTTTTCTGCTTTGTAGAGGAGATTTGCATTCTGAATCCTCAAGGTTTAAAATCCTTGTCTTTGCCTGCCTCTGCAGCCTTTCTCCTGAACCATCCACAACACCGTGTGCAACTAATCAGAATGCCAGCTTGTTACTTCGGCCCCAGGGATGGAGGGAAAACACATGATGCTTTCTTTGAGAAATTTTTCCCTCTGTCCCAGAAGATATGTAAATTATCCTGTTCACTCTAAATTGCTACTACTATATTGCCATAGTCGTGGACAGAATATTGTATTGTGATCAGCATTTCCAAAATTCTCAAGACAAAAATTTGTGCAGACTGAAGAAGTTAGTTTCTATTACCTTTTTTTATTATTTTTTTTTTTTGAATGAAGTTCCTGATCTCAGCTGTTACTTCGGTCAGAGAGAGTTAACACTTGAAGTCATTTTAATGTCTTTATTTCTCAAATCTGTTAACTATATCATCAGTGCATGACTATGCATCCAAACAATGTTAACATAATGTGTGTTTTTTTTTTTCTTGCAGTGATGCTACAGCCTTTTGACTATGACCCTAATGAGAAAAGTAAACACAAGTTTATGGTTCAGTCTATGTTTGCTCCAGCTGATACTTCAGATATGGAAGCAGTAGTAAGTATAGAAGTCAATTTTAATTAATTTCATTCTGTTTCTATATTTTTTAAGACATTTTACTGCATTGCTTAAAGCCTGTTGCAGACAACACTGGAATGTTCCTTGAAAGCATGACTAGATTTCCATCTCTGGGCATGGTGAGGTTTTGTGTATTTGTCTGAAGCCTCAGGATTCTTATGTCAGCACTGTGTCTTTCAGCACAGCACAACAGTCTGTGGTTGCTTTCTTAAGAGGTTCCTGTCAGCAATGGGATACCAAGCCATGAAACATGCTAAGTAGTTGTAAATTTTTTTTTATATAAAAATGATTTTTTTTAAAAAAGGCAAACTTGGGCTACATATTCTAAGGATCAGTTCTGTGGCATCTCCTGTATTTTATGCCTTTGTACGCTGTCTCGAGTCTTCCTTTAAGCAGCTCCTTTTCACAGTAGGAACTGGGAGGATGGTTTACAAATACTGTTTTTTTCTTTATCCTTACTGTTGTGGCTTAAATGAACTGCCCTTATAGATCTTGTTCTATGGATTACAAATGAGAGTAACAGAAGCATATAAGTTCTGAAGTAAAGAAGGACAAAAATATGTAGAAATAAGATGGCTATGTTAAGGTGACCAAGAAAGAAAAAAGCAGTATGTCTGCTGGTGGTTTTCCTATAGCAATGAGATATTTGCTACTTCAAGGAAGCTTTCTCTGGTTTAGCTTTTGTTAGTTTGACAGAACATGTAGTAAATGTTGAAGAAACAATAAATTAGAAAAAAATGTCCTTTATTCTCTAACGTATACAGCTCTGTGTATGTTTGAATGTATATGTCTAACTTTAAAAAAAAAAAAAAACCTCAGAATGCATATCTTTTTTTTTTTTTTACAGTAGTCTTTACAATACATGTCTTCTGAACAGCTCTTTAAAGCTGAGGCACTTTGTAGAGTTAAGAATTTCCCTTTTAGAAGGAGATTTATGGAACTGTATTTGTTTAATGACCTTAAAATAAGATCCAGTGGGAGAAAAAGCAATAGTAATGAAATGTCTGCATCACTAGAAGAATAATCCCGTCTGCATTTCTTTCTAACTCTACATGGTATAAAGTAACTCATTAAATTAAAATGTTATTCTGCTAGCAAAGAATATTTTTAAGGATCTAGATGGTCCTTTCAGTTTTCCAGAGCTCCTCACACCAATACCATTTCTTTTCCTGTAACATTTGGTCACTTCTCAGTTTTGTTACCACTCTCCAAGTATCTTCCTATTCTGGATAAACAGGTGAGACAAATTACTAGAATACTATAAAGCTTTCAACACGTCCCCAGCAGCCAACAAGCTCAAAATAGGATTCTGACTTCACCCACAGAAGAGCTGAAGTACTATTCAGCTATTTAGGATGGGTCAAATTCTTCTTCAGGTTGCACAGGGGTAAGCCATAATTTGACACCTACTTGAGATGTGCTGAGCCATACCGTGCTTGGCCCAGAAGTATGGGCAAAGTGAGGAGAAGCATGAGCACCCCAGGACATAAAATGTGGACACTTCTCACTGTTTACCACTACTGTTATCACTGCTACAAACCAATCTTTTCAGTTCAGGGTTATGGCTGATATTGAGCATAGATTTATAACTGTTAATCCCTATTAAAAATATTGGAAGGAAATTATATTATGGTAGACTCTTTTAATTGAAGAGCAAAGAAGGATGAGAGGGAGAGTTACCCATTTTGATTTGTAGTACATTTGTTATTGTTTAGGCATTGATGCTGAAACATAAGCAGGTGCAAAATATCATTCCCTTCCTTTAAATATACCCCTCCTGTCTTTTTTTATTTTTATTTTTTTTAAATCAGGACCATAGCTCCCCCTGTCTATGCTAATTACTCTTACACATTTCCCAGTTCACTCATAAATTACCTGTGAAAGTTTCAGACTATTCAGAATTATTTATTTTAAAATGTCTGGTCTGGTCTTTAACATTACTGCTCAATTATGTACTTGATTTTCATTTTTGGTCCTGTATATGGTTAATGGTAACATGATAAACACCTGTGGAGTTTTTCATGAGATGATGTGATTTGTTTATACAATACGCTACATTTTCCATGTGTCTTATTATACTCTGTTTAATATTAAATTATTACAGTGGAAAGAGGCAAAACCAGAGGAACTCATGGATTCGAAACTTAGGTGTGTGTTTGAGCTACCAGCGGAAAATGATAAGCCTGTGAGTATTTTCAGCTGCATATTGTGTGACTTAACTTAATACCACAGTAAATCATGTAAAATGGCATGTTTATACAGACAGCTATATAAGCAAAAGACAGAACCCTCTGTTTCACCGTCTGGATGGCATCCCTGTTTTAAATGGTTTTATTTTATGTTTTCAAATCCTAGTGATACTTAATATTACTAGCAGCTAACTTGAGCAACATGAATGCAACACAACCATAAGGAAATCTTTGAGTTGATCTTTCTTCATTGAATGAGATCACATAGGATAAAAATATTAAAACAAAACAAAAGCTGATTGATGTTCATTAGTGCTTCCACATAAGCTCCGAGCTTAATAGCTGTGAACAATACAAATTTGCCTGTCCAGCACTCCCCTTTTGCTTCCTTGATACGACACTGTTTTTTGCAAGTAAGTTGGTATACACCTAGTAAGGAAGATTTAAAAAAATGCAGTTAGGGGTTACGTTGCAATAAGCAGCTATAATATTGTAGGATCCTTTGTTAGAGCTATGAACACTGATCAATTTCTGAAGAAAGTGTGTAGTATTAAGCATAGAGCTGGTAATAGGCTGAGTAAACTGAGGAGTGTTTCCTAATACACAGATACTGAAGGCACAAGCACTATATATTGCACTGGGCAGCTTGTGATTACAATTACGTGTTGTTAAAATTGCACTGTTGTGGTCTCACTGTCTTCTCTACCTGCTCCAAAGAGTGAACACCTGCTCTAAAAGTAGGTGCTTCTGTATTGGGCCAGGGTGCTTTCTGCGTTTCCCATTTAGAGGTGTGACAAGAGGAAGGAAAGAGAATTTTTTTTTCTATAGTGCCTAAAATTTATTAGAGCAAAATAAAGCACAAGTACTAACAAGTTCTTCTGACTTTATAAATAAAAGCTTCATGTTAAAACTTTGGGGGCAGTTTGGGTGGGGAGAGAGCAGTTTGCTCTTGTTAGAGCTGAGCCTGTTGCACCAGAGAGGAACAGAGAGGATCCAAAGCCAGGAGAAGGAGGGGGCTTTGGAGCTTTGCAGCTTCTCTTTCCTAACTTGGGCTAAAAGTTCCTCAATCACCATAGAAAAACAGAAAGGTGGAGAGATGATAGCTATGGGGAGCGAAGAGAGAACTGCAGCAGAGCAGCTGGGTGCTGCCTAGCAATAGACTGGCTCTTGGATAGCTGCTGGTGTTGTGCTTGGAGAGGGAAAGGCGAGGGGAGCACGAGGACTCCATAAGCAGTGTGTGAGCAAATAATTCAAGTTCCTTTTCTTACTGTGGGACTTGGTGGGACATATTTCCTTTTTTACAGGACTGAAAACCAGGGGTCATTCTGTGTGCACTTATAGCTGCTGATCTGGTGTTTTCTGTGGAAAAACAGGAAGGGGAAGTGAAGCTTGCAGAAAGAAAAATGTTGCTTATTTCTTTTGATACAGGCACGTTGCAAGTGTGCACAGAAAATTTTACCTGATTCTCCTCCTAAGTATCAGGTTTGTGGTGTGGCGTTAACTAACCAAAAATCACTCTATCCTTTTTTAACAGCATGACATAGAAATAAATAAAATTGTATCCACAACTGCAACAAAGACAGATTCCTCTGTAATGTCTAAATCAATAAGTTCTTCTTTGGATGACTCTGAAGTTAAGAAAGTAATGGAAGAATATAAGAGGCTTCAAGTAGAAGTTCAGAGGTTACGGGAGGAGAATAAACAGTTTAAGGTAAAGAGATTTTTTTTTTCCAGGTTTACCCCTTTTTCGAAATATAGAATTCAAACTGAAAGGCTTGGTTACTTCTTTTTAGCATAATATTTTATTATTGTCTGTCAATTAAAAGAATGTAGGTTTCTCCCTGTAAAGTCATAAAAAAGTGTTGAAATCTGTGGTTCCTTCAAAAGGAATATTGCAACTCATGCAGTCAGAAACTGATTGGATAGCAACCCAAAGTAATAAATTCACATTCTTTTGTTTTTTCTTTTCCCATCTAATTTCCTGAGTCTGAAATCAGCATTTAGTGTTGGTCCTGTTCTCTCAAACTGATGGGAGCTTGAGGGCAATGTTGTACTAATATTAAGTTTTAAGTAATTGCACCTATAACGTTAGTTGAAATGACCAAAGTAACACAAATGAAAAGGAAATATGCTTCCTGTCGTATCCAGCACATCACTGTGAAACCAAACAGAAGGCTTTATCACCATGCTGGGGAAAAAAAAAAAGGTAGTAGTTTCATTTATTATAAATGTCTAGTTTCATAGATAACAGCACCAATAAAAACTTGAAATCTGTGAGTACTGGACATAAGTGAAAGGAACTCTTCTGTCAGCTCTGATGCTGCATGGCTGGCTGGTGCATGAAGAAATTATTTAAACATTTGTAAAACAATTTTGTTTTGCTTATAGAAATAGCATACGTGTACAGCTGAGACATACGCTTAGCTTTTCCAGTGTCTCCCAGTACTATGAATTCTAATTGTTTTTTTTTTTTTACAAGTCAGTCTTGAGTAAATCCTGTATGGGAGCTCACACCTTTGGTAACATCTTAAAACTGTGATCTCTGTTCCCTTTAGTGAAGTGTTAGGAACATCTGTAAAAGGTCAGAAAACAATGTTAAATTACCACCAGCCACCAAATGCTGCCAGTGTCAGACTAGATCTTGCTCAAGATGTTTAAATATTTAAAAAGAAAAGTTAAAATTTTAAGTTTTGCTTTCTAGCAGTAAAATTACCATTTAGTTAAACAATATCTTATTTTTTTTAATTAAAAAAAAAAAAAAAAGTCAGTTGTTCCCATCCAGATTTGTAGCAGCAATGAGATATCAGGTAGTCTGTGATTTATTTTTTTTTTAAATTTTCCTGAAGAAAATGAGCTGCCCCCTTTGAATTCAAAAGCGGAAAACCACTCACATAGACAAAACGTTTTGAATTCCTCTTACCTGTCAGTTTTTAGGGCTGCAGTAACTTTTATTACAATTTTATTTCTAGAGCGTTTTTTTATGTGTAGACTGGAGGCTTTTGCTTCAATAGCTTATACTTTTTGCACTCTCATAGTGTGTCACATAAAAAAGCTTAACACTATTGCTTCAGCTGTATACCAGTTAGGTCACAAAGCCTTGCTTTTTACCAGCTCCTAAAGTGATGTGTGTGTGGAATGGAGCGCGCTAACACCCAGCTGTGCTGCACAACACTTTAGATCAAGAAGTGTAGGGCATTGTCTCCACTTGAAATGATAGTATCTGGTGTTATGATGTTACTAAGTGTTGTACCATGCATCTTTCAATCAAGAAAGCTGTCAAATTCATGTCAAAAGAGCATCCTAATAGTTAACGTTAGTTCTGTGACAAAACTTCAGTATTACTATGGTGGAGGAAATAGTTTTCAAGTGCTGGCAAAAATTTGCTTGTGAAATCTCACTAGGGCAACGATGAATATAATTCCCTTAAAGCTACATATTTTTCACAACCTGTCTTAGTGAGTTATATTTTAAAACATTTTCCCCAACAGCATTATACTCGGGTTTACAGAGCAAGACGAGCGTCTTCATGCCATTCCCTTCATCATTGCTCTTAATGCTCTGGACCTGTCTCCAGACTTCAGACAAGTGTTCTTGCAGGCTTCCTCATTGCTTCCTCTATTACCTTAGCCTTACTTAGGGCTTATTTATTGCCTTTCATAGGAGAAAACTTGAAGAGAATGTATTTTTTTTTTCTCTGCCAGCAAAGCAGACAGATCTCCTCTCCTTAGGGTTATCTAGTGCATGGAACTCTAAATAAGCTGTAAATTAGTGCTCCCCTATTTTATTATTCACACCTAAAATAAATACAATGTGAATAATTAAAACTTTTTTTTCCAGTAGAAGTAAGCAATTTATCTTCCTGCAGGAAGAAGATGGACTTCGGATGAGGAAGGCACCCCAGACAAACAACCCAATATCTGCTTCTGCAGCTGCTGTCAAGGATGAAGGGTTCAGCTCCAGAATACTCGCTTTGGTGGTTTTGTTCTTTGTCTTTGGTGTAATTATAGGAAAAATAGCCTTGTAGAGGCAGCATGCTGGAAATTGTAAATTGATTTGATGGTTCTGCCATATCATTGGATTAAATTTATTCATAACAATGTTTAAAAAAAATTAATGTATGACATCTCACAGGTCTTGCCTTTAAATTACCCCTGCACAAATATTATGTAACATAATCTAGAAAGTTTAAAATGTACAATGAATGAGTGAATGAAAGAGAATAATCTTCAGTGATGAAGGCAGGAAGAAAATCATGATTTAACACTACAATGGAATATTGTATATGTCATTTTAAACATTCTTAGACCCTGGTACATGTTGCTGAATTACCTCTTTTTAAAAAAAGGGAGAAAAAAAAGGAAAATAGAAAAAACTATTCCTCCACTGCTGGAGCTGGCCCTATTGGATGTTTGGAGCTGGGTTAGGCAGGAGGTGTTGATAACTTCTGTAAAATACGTTAATCCACCATTCTGCTCATAAATTTAACAGTTTCTGTCAGTGTCTTCAACTCTGTGCAAGTTACCAATTTCTTGGCACTTAAATGAATAGTGAGAAGCTGAGAAGAATTGTATGTGGCAATGCTGAATGTGCTAGGCATCATTAAGAGGCGTATATTGACTGGTATGACGCTCGTTTGGAATAAAGGTCAATGCCTTGTTCTCATGAAGGGACCAAGCTACATTGCTGTTGGTTCATTTAGTTGAATTAAAATGTTATTCAGAGATGTTTAATGCATATTTAACTTATTTAATGTATTTCATCTCATGTTTCCTTACTGTCACAAAATTGACTAATACTATATGGTATGAAAAGACACCTGTTCTAAAGCCAGTGACTAGAGCTAAAAAACTGCTGCTGTAGTGATGCGAGATTCTTCTGCCTCCTGGTGTTTTGGGCACTACACGTAAATTGTTGGGAGTTTTGATCATCCAAGCATTGGAGAAACAGTGGTCAGGAAACTGTTTTTGTATGTAAATAAGTCTATCTAGGGGAAAAAATATTAGTAGTAAACTAGTCCTATGCCGTAAAAAGACCAATCCTGTTTGATGATGTAGCATCTAAAAAAAAAAAAAAAAAGAAAAGAAAAAAGGAATTAAATAAAGCCCCCAAATTAATGTTTCTTTTGTTACTTTTGTCATGTTCTCAGTTTCGGGGGGGAACAATGTTCTCTGTCAACTGAAGTTTGTTTATGGCATAAGGAAACTAGCAGCCATGTTTCAGGAATTTATTTTTTTTTTCCAGCCTAATTTTAAAATCGGTCTGAACAGCCCCATCCTGAGCATGCTTTACTGATTTACCGTGAAATGTGTTCGCAGTAACTGTGCTGACTGCTGAGGTACTGCATAACTCCTCGTTTGTCAGCTTAGTTGGATTCAGTAGTCAAGACACTTGATAGCGTATTGAAAGTGAAGCTAAGGTAATTTTGTTTCTAAGCATACTTGTATTACAAAAAACATAAACTCTGTGTTGGACTTCAATAGTTGAAATAGGTTTTGAGCAAGTGAATTCTTGTGTAATCCTAGATGCTAGGTTCAGAAACTGTTGCTGACAAAATTTTTGTAACACCCTTCAGGATTATGATACATCTGTAAGAAATGGCTTCCTCCATTCCTGCGTTGTTCCTGTGTTTCCTTGAGAAAGGTGTTTGGGTGGCAGGATGTCTACTACACTCTTCCTACATCATTGACCTTTATATTTGTTTCTCAACGGTTTCTTGTTTTGCAAGTGCAAATAAGTGAAATTTTATCTGAGCTTTAATAAGAAAATGGACTCGGGGAGGGAATGCTAGCTGGTGTGTTCAGCTCAGGAACACAACTCTGGAAGTACCTTTAGGAGAACCCAACAGAAACAAGAGGTCTGTCTTTATTCCTTTAAAGTGTTAGTGCCTTCTTGTCTGCTCGGGATGAAAGGGGCGAAGCAATTAAGGTGTGCCTGCAAAGGCCAGGGAAGTGGGAGATGAGCTGGAAAGAACGAAGCCGCAAGTTCAGTGTGACAAATTGGGCAGAACCGATCAAGAAAAAGATGCTTTCTGGGCTGTAGAAGCTAATGAAAACTTTCCCAGGAAACATGGTAAAAGAACCCTTTCAGACAGAAAAGTGATGTAAGTGATGCAAAATTAGTTTTCGTGGCTTTGAAGAATGTATTTGAGAAAATGTGCGCTGAAGGGAGACTGGACTACCCAGTACTTTTAAAGGGGCTGTAAGCATCTTTACCTAGCTAAGAATGTTATCAAAACAGGTAAATTCCTAATTTGCTTTTATTTTTTATTTTTTTTTTTTTTTTTAAGAAAAGGTATAAACTTGTTTTGGAGTCCTTTGTTCTGCTGAAAAACACCCTCAAAAAAGTGTTTAAAAGAAATTTGCTGTCTTTGCAGGGCAGAGGGATCGAAGCGTTAAACTGGTCCCTTGTGAGTGTATCTAATAACGTGCCAGGCAAATTTTACACACAGTTAGCTGCTGAAGTTGGTTTGGCATGGGCAGCTCCCAGATGAAGTGGAAAGTCAGCAGAATGTCTGTCCTCCTTCCAGTGTTCAATAGTCACACTTCTCAGTGATCTGTGACAATTTGGAGCTTCAAGTCATTTGTGAGCAAAGCTGTTTCTGTTTGCGCTCCAGGATTGCAAAGAAGTCCAGCAAAAAGAATGCTCTCATGCTCTTCTTGGTGCCTTACAAAGGCACAGAGACCAACACACGAGGGACATTAGGTAGGTAAGGATCTGTTGATAACAACCGTAGTCTGCAATAGGAGCAGGCTCCCATTATCAGTCCAAAACATAAATTTAACTTTTTATATTTTGGAATTCTAAAAAAAAAGTTTGAGGTCTTTTCCTAGCCATTTTTGACAACAGCCTAAGCAGGCAGTAGCTCTGAATTGTATTGATAGTGCTTTGCTTTTGCTGGGCTTAAAATAAAATGACTGTTCAGTGGAGTCCGTATTGCCTGTCTGTTTGACCAGGCCCTTCGTTCATATGCAACAGAAATAAAACTAAAAATATTTTTTCTTGCGAAGGCTCATAAAAAGCCAGCTTGTGGATATATTGCAAAAATAATTTCTATATTGGATGGATGTTCTAAAGCCACTTTGTTCTCTTACAAACCATCCTTTATTTGATGACATCAGAAATGCTTTCCTGAAGTATTCATAGAAAATGAATTCTTCTGGAGGGCGTTGTAGATCTCAGGAAGTTATGCATGACACACAGCTTATAAATAGGATTATTGTCTGGTGTCTTTGCACAACACCAGATATTGGAAAAATGATAGGAGAAACCAAGTTATTACTTCTAATCTAGTTGTTGTCCGTACTGTTCTTTTAGGTTTACTGTTAATTTTCGAGAAGCCGGTAGAAGTTGCTTGGGTCTCTGCTTTGTGGAGCTTCACACTCCTGACCGCCCTCTTTGGGTCCACAGCACAAACAGATGGCTAAAAGGGCTTGAAGTCTAGTACTGAGAAATGATTGAAAAAATAACTGTGAAAATAGTTAAAATCACATCTTAAAGTAAATGTTCTGTGCATGAATGATCATAATTATTGCTCTGCATTAGCAGTCGCTGAGTGTGAATGCACAGCTATGGCAATGCATATGCAGGCTGGGCCCCCGGTTTCAAGCTGTTGTTAAATAGCCCTAGGGATCACAGAGAAAGTTAATACCGTGGATGTCATGTCGAGAGGGATTGATGTACCATAATGTAATTTTCTAAAAATACAGGATTGTAATAGCTTGGTAATGGTATTCCATGTTAACTTTTTACCAAAATGCTGGTAATGGGATAAAGTTGGAAACTCGCTTCACAAATTGCTAGAATTTCTTCTCACCAATAAATTATTAAGGGTGTCTAGTTGCTGCACATGTACGCTTGCAATTCTTATTATAATCTTGATTTAGCAGTCAGCACATTTACATAGTGGTGGGCACACAAAAAATGGATTTTTAGTGTCTGAAGATACTTGATATTGCAGTCACCTAATGCAAGAAAACTCTTTTTTAGCAAAAGGGTTTCATTTTCATATCCTAATTGGAACATCCCCTTAATTGTTGGGCACAATAGCAACCTAACTGTGGAATTCATAAGTTCTCAAACTATTCTTATTTTGCTTTACATAATGTCCTGAAACATCATATCCCACATTCTGTTTGCTTTATAAAGCAACTAAGAAAAAACAACCAAAAAGGCCTCTGTTTGATATTTAAGAATGCATAAAACAAGTCTTCTGAACCTCGTGTTTGTTGTGGCTGTGCTACAGCTGCAGTAGTACTCAGCAGCACTAAAGCAGCTTGGGGTTAGAGCTGCTTCCTAATTCTGTCTGAAAATGGGTTAGCATCCATTACTTAGATGCTCAAGTGAGCAAGTTGAGAAAGGACAGGTGGTGAGTGAATTGCAGTGTACATATTTGAGATTTTTTTTGATTCAGAAACTCAAAAAAAAAATCTGTATAGGAGTGAGATCAGTTCAATACCATATGTGGAAGTTAGTTTTCCCTATAATCGGATACATATCTACAAATTTAATTTACTGTTCAGAAAATATAAATATAAATCAATGTGTAGGCATTTTAGAAAGAAAAGCATCTACTGGGCAGGGGTGCTTTGCTTGCTTGTATAGAGTGAAACCTAGCTGTTCTGTAGATTGACTTGATTAAAAGATGACAATGGGCTACAATGCCAGTATAAATCATCTGTTGCAGTTAGATAAATAGAGGGATTTATTGTTAAAGCAGGGCAATGCAGATCCTTTGAACATGTCCAGCTAAGATTTCTTTATACTATGCTGACAGCTTCATGTATACTGAATCACTTTGTCTAATGGGTGTCAGTGCTAAAGTGACACTGTGCATTGTACTGCTGCCTTTTGTTTTCATTAGCTTCAGAGAACAAAGTAATTGCGTATTTCCACTACTCAAATCTGCTAAACTATAAAATATGTCTGTTTTATTAATGGGTTGATTTTTCTTTTACTGGATAAATGTAGGTTGTTTTTTAAAATAACACAAGTAAGAGCTGGCCAGAAGTCCCTAATAAGTGTGCATTTGCACTTCCAAACTGAGTGGATGCCTGTTGTTAACTCCTCCATTTCCCGTGGCTTCATTTCCTTTTACAGAGCTGTTTTCGCATTTTTACTGTGAAGAGTAAAAGTTTGAATGGTGTTACTACATTTCCATGTAGATGTTTTGCCTCCCTGTCCAGGCCTAAGTCTGTCCTGAAGCATTTGCATGAGTGAAGACCACAAAAAGGAGCTCTCTAGTCTATGAGTACAGAAACAAGGCTGCTTTTCCTTGAAGCAAACTTGAACTTTGGATCTTTTCTTGTATGATCTGTCATTGGAGAATGGCCTTTTCCAGATGGCAAAACAAAAGAAGTTAAGAAAACAAATGAATTAAGAAGAATTAATTGAAGCTGCATATTACAAGTTGACGTTATACATCTGGCATTTCTGTTTATGTTTCTACATCGGTACATTTCATTCTTATTTAATAAGTTCCTAATTTTGTGATTTTTTTTTCAAGTTTTTGAAGTGCCTATGAAGAACTGAAGAACAGCCTGCAGTAAGGCATTGTCCCCAGTTTAGCTGTACTTCATTTTTTTAATCAAATCTTTTTCTTCAGTGGAGAAACTCATAAGACCAGAAGAGCCTCCTGAGCTCCCTCCTGTTTGAGTTGGCAGAATTCCCATGCGTAATTATCCACACACAACTACTTTTAAAAGAACTTTATTAAGCCTGTACAAAGTCAAGCCCTCAGAAGTTAGGAAATGGCAAAACCAAGTGTGCATGTGCACTGTTAGTCTGCTCGGTGTGAGTACCTCACAGTATCTGATCAAGCCTTCAGCATCCACTCAAAACACGAGCTTAGGTGGACCAGAAGGTGTCTAAAGCTGCCCAGCATCATGTGCCTGACCCTGCATAACATTAAGTTCTCTTAAAACACATGTAATTGGAGTTTTGAAAGGTCACCTTAAAAAATGGTGTTACAGCATTACGGATAACGCACGTGTATGTCAGGATCGGCTCTTTTGCACCCTGTGCACAGACACCCATTCTCAACCCAAGCATCTGATCAAGCGGTGAGTAACGGCCCAAGCTGAAGCAGCAGCTCCTGGGCACACGTGTCACTGGCAGGCCACGCAGAAATATGCCTGGAGCCAGGAATTTTTGCTGCAGTTCTGAGCCCAGAAGAGTGTTCCTGTGACAGCTGCAGCCTCTCCTGCCCAGTTTCTTTTCTGACGTATTCTGCCCGAGCTGTCAGATCAGTCCAGTCCCTAGCCCCTTGGTTCAACCAAGTCATCCTCGTTCCCGCACTGCTCCTTGGCAAAGGCACTGGTGTTCAGCCCAGCCTCTTTCATTTTCCATCTCTTTCTTCCCATGGCTCCTCTTCCAGTCTTGCTCTTCCCTGTGACCTTCCCTGTGTGTCCCAGACTTCTGGCCCACAGCAGCCCTTGGTGGCTGCTTGCAGGCTGCCTGGTGGAGCAGTCCCTGATGCGTCTGGCTGCTCCCAGGTGCCGCCTCCTGCCCCGAGTTACAACTCACCCATCTGCTTCCTTTGTGATCAAGGTTGCTCATCCCTCTTCTAATTCTAGGTAGCATAGAGCTATGTGTCCTGTCAACCATCTTTCAGGCTCCAGCTTCTCTCTGCTGCTTCACTGCAGCACATCTGTTTACAGTCAATAAGAGACTTTTCAGTGCGGATTGTTTATCAAATGGAGCATTAACTCAGTGCTATTGATTTATCCAGAAGCGTTCTAAAACTTCAGTGTGTTTCATTTTAAGAATCGTTTGGGAAGTTAAAATGCAAAATACATCCTGGAGCATTTTAAACAGAGGGGACATAAAAGTGACTAACTGGAAAATCAGGAGAACAGACCCAAGTCTAAGTTTGCCCAGAAAACTGAGCTCGTGCTTTAAATTCTTGTGCCTGCTACAGAAGCAGAAAATTAGAAAGGCAACGTGTCTGAGTAGCTCATGTGCTAAAGAAGGTACGAAAGACTTCCATGTGCAGACCTAGTGTAGGAAGCTAGTCAATGTATTCAGAATGTTTGAAATGTCTTTATTCTCTTTTGGGGGGATAGTTAAAAGTGATAAAACTTGAAAAGTATAACATTAGAAGTTGAGGGCGAGATTTTTTTAAGACGTGCCCATTGTTGTTTTTCAGCTGGTACCAACCTGCCAGTGCATCTGTGTGAGCTTGGTTTTTCTTCATAAGGTACAGTAAGAAGGCAGATATGGATTTTACAGCTGAATAGAATCCAGTGGTCAGGACTAATGTTTGTTGTTTATGTCCTAGATTCTAATACAGCTTTAGACATGGCAGTGTTTGGCTTTGTCTTGGTTAAAGATAAAGGAATCACAGAAGCTGGTGGTTTCTGTGGAACCCTGACTGCATTCTGCTGGGCATGTGGCCATGCAAACTGCTAGTGGATGCAAGTGCTGCTTCAAAAGGGTGTCATAGCTTAGCAAATTTCACATCAGATGTGGTAGTGAAGAAGAAATTAAATGGAAAACTGAAATAGGATTGGCTATTTGCTAAGAGAAAGGTAGTAAATGGCCAAAAACCCAACAATTTTGCAATCGAGAATGACTGGCTAAAAGCCCGTCTTTATTCAGTGATGAAAAGAAGGGGAAAATTAGATGTAAAAATAAAAATAAAAATAAAAAGAGAAACAGTAATCAACACGAAATGAGTTATGAAGTGTAGAAAATCAGTAAGAAAAGCAATAGCCAAAGGAAAAGAGTGAGCCAGAGTGCTTGGAGGGGGTGATAAGAGCTGAAGTACAGGGGGAATCTTTGCAGTAGGATGAGGACCGTTACTAGATGCAGGTGGTGAAACTGCTGGTGATGAGGTAAGAGAACTGAATTCATTCATTAGCAATGCTTAATAAAAAAATAAAAATAAATTACATTCATTAGGTCTAGAAAACCTGCATCAATACTTCCACAGGAGGTGTCTGAGGCCATCTCTTCTTACATGTCAACGAGAGGAGACGCAAGCAGGACAGGATGAGCTGGGTACGGTGCCTGGTTAGCCTGACAGCCCAAGGAAGGGATGGGAAAGGAGGCGAATGTTAGTGAAGGAGCGTAATCTAAGGCAGTCATTTCAGTCTATCTTTGTTTTTCCGTTTTCTTTGGGATTAAAGTCAATTGCAATATCTGCACCCCTACAAAGCCTGATGTGTTGTGATAATCACACATTTCAGAAGTGGTCTTTTAAAGAGAACCGTAATGAAATGGGGATGCTCACAGAAGGCTCATGCTGGGATCTGATACAATTCAGTGCTTCCATATCGCTGGTGAAAATACACACAAAATCTCTACTGAGAAAATGGTAACGTGACAAAAATACCCATACCCAGAACCAGAGTGAGTAAGAGCTCCACATGTGCTCCCAGTGCAGTCCCAGGGTGAAAGACTACTGACTAAGGACGTGTTCTTGTTTTGAATTATCGTTAGCAGTGGGTGATTGTACTTCTGTATGTCTCAGCTGTGAGAGCTGGGGATTTTGGATGCAATTTGGATATTTACATTTTAAGAGAGAAGCTGCATAATTGGACTGGGTGCAAAAAGAGATTCAAAAATTACTAGTGGAGTGTGAAAATGCCTTAGAGAGAGAGAGAACTCGGTTGGCTGAGTTTATCTACCAAAATTGAGAATGTCTTGATTACAGTGCACAAGTACCTTCACGCGGAGAAAATACTGAACACTGCAGCTCTCTTTGATCTTAGAAAAGAGCAAAACAAGAATCACTGACTGGCAATCAGAGCCAGGCAAATTCAAATTGGAAAAAGGCACAAATTCTTGAGAGAATAACTGTGTAATTTAGGAATGTTTCTCCAAAAATTGTGAACAGAACAATAAAA